TTGCAGAGATCAGAGGCAGTGCATGCAATCAGAATTCCTGGCCTCACTGAACTAGAAAAGGCTTTCCTGCTTTCTATTGCAGGTGGTTTTATGTCAGGCTGTGTGCTGTTTTACCAATCTTTGCAGAGTCAGCTGAATTTCAAGGGTTATAAAAAGATTGTTAAATATTTCTTCAGAGTGCTTCCAAAGAATTAATAATTCAATTTCTGTAAAATTTTGTATAAAGAGAAATCATGACATTGTTTCTAAAAGGAAAAAAAAATGTGGTTCCATCACTCTTCTTGTATCTTTCTCCCTGACTTTCCAAGCTGCAATTGACACATTCCCTGCAGGCATTTCCTAAGCTGTTCAGTGAGTATTAAAAAAAAAAAAAAAAGCCTCTTCTGAGTGAAAAATCAGGGCCTCAAGAACATATCTGAAACATATCTGACAGTGGAGTGTTTAAAAAGACACGAATTAATCTTGGCTTTATTTAGTCTGGAAGGAATAGAACATTGTGCATGTTTTTGAACGTTTACATTAAAAGAAGCCATGATTTGTTTCCTGTGCTGAAGCTAAATTACAAAGACTTTCTTTTATGCTAAAGCTCCTGCCTGATGTACAAAAAGAACGGTAGTGCGCAACAGGAAGAAAAGATCACAATGTGCATGATGTAAACTTACAAACAGCCTTGGGACGGTCCTTTTGATAAGATAAAAACAACTGGAAATCAGCTACACGTCTTAGTTCATGCAGATTAACTCTCAGGTCCCTTGAAAAGACCAACCAAAAAATTAAAGGCAGATCAGATTGGATGGGACTGAGGTCAGAAGAATAGTGTTTGTCCATCTACACCCTTCACAGCTGTGGTGCTGCCATGTCACTGGTGCTAGGGGCAGTAAAACAGGGAGAGCAGAAGTCTTTCAGCTGCAGCCCAGGCTTTCAGTGGTGTGTTGGGCTCTCCTGATGTGCTCAAGCCCCCAGCTGCGGTAGGCTATGGGAAAGGGCACGTGCTTTGGTGGAGGGCCCTTGACCAAGAAATTGTCCTCCAGTGGGAGAAGCAGAGACAGTGTTTGCTGTCCAAGAAGGAATGCCAGCTGCCTTCATTACTATCTGGCACGTGAAGTGGGGCTGGAAGGGATCTACCTCAAGTCCTGGTATCACCAACAACTGATAATTGTCTTTAATTGGATTAACCTAACAGCGCTATTTTAAGTGTTTCTTTCTGGTTTCCAGAGGGAGCTATTTATAGCTAAATATAGGTTTATATTTATATTCATTTTATATTCATTTTTATTTATATTAAATGTAAATATATTTATTCATTATAAACAAAGGTCACTTTCTTTCACAGTAAATACAATGCAAAACACATACAAGCCACTTTAGTTATTTATTTCTTCCTGGAAATAAATGTGTTCTCCCAGAATACCTGTCTACTTTTCCTCGATCTCTTTAAAAGTAACTTTTATGTTATTAGTCGTAGGCATTGATGTTGATGGTGCAAGATAACCAAGTAGCTTGAATTTTTTCTTGTTTTTGTTTTGTTATTGCATGAAGACAGTTAACATGCTAGAAACCTAATAAAATAATTGTGTGTTCTGATTTCTTAGAAATAAGGTTCAAATTTTCAAGTTTCAAGGCTGTCATGTAATAGCTAGGTTTGTAAAATAAAATGGTTGTAGAGATGCTAGATAGTCACACCTCTGAAACTGAGTGTATTTTGAAATATGTATTGATTGGTTAGGTACTTAACTATGAACTATGCTCAAATGACAGAACACGTTCACATGCGTCTTAAAAAATGCAAATTTTTAGAATACTGTCGAAGTAAGTTTGCTTTCCTAATCCACATCGGCTTTTGTAAAAAAAAAAAAAAAAAAAAAAGAGGATTCTTACATGCAAAAATATCCTTTTCTTCCTCTTCAGATGAGGTCATATAAGCATAAAGAGTTTCTGCTCATCAAATTTGACTGACTTAAAATCAATTTACCTTTTCTATGCACTGTGGTTTTCCATTCATAGGGAGAGGCCTTTTTAACAATGTCTGTTGGTATATTCATACATTTCCTATATTGGTCATAAAAATACAGAAGAAAACATACGTGTGAAATTGTGCAAACAGAATGCAGAGGAGGAAATTATTTAAATGACCTGCTGGTGCCTGTTGTTTTTTAAAACTGCTGGAGTAGGAAAGTCACATTCCTAGGAGCACTGAATGGGAGAGCAAGATGACCTACTTTAGCTGAGAAACAGGTGAAGTGAACCTGCTCTTTCAGTCCTCATGCCAGTGAGCAATTCTAATAAAATATGGCTTTAAAATCTGAATGCAAAAATGTTGTGTTAGAAGAGCACAAAAAAACTTTCCAGTTTGTAACCCAACAAGGTATTTCTTCACACAAACAAGTGAGACTTGAGGCTACAGAGAAACTACTTTTCATAGTGTAATATCTCCAACTTTTTATGCTTTTTTTTTTTTTTTTTTTTTTTTCTGTTGCATCAGTTCAGGCTCTAGAGTATGAGAGTTTACTGCTGTATGTAATGCTGCCTTGAATACTCTTGCACTTACAATAACAATGGTCCTATATGGCTTGGCTCCTTCTATCTTTTCTTGTCTTGGATTCCTTGGCAACCTTCAGTGCTGAAAAAAACTATCTATCTGTCTATTGCTATTTATTTATTTATTTTTTAATCTGCGGGGTACATGAAAAAGGGTGATCTGCAGAGGTGGTGTTTTGGGACACTAAGACAAACTATGGTTTTGAGGTTATTGCAACTGCATATTTTTGGGGCAGGATTCAGAGCTAAGCACAGCAGAGGGAATTTGTAGCATTTCTTATTTGAATTGGATTTCTACTGGCACAGACACATAATGTTACTAAGGTAGATTTGCAGAATAAAAGAGTTCACAACCTTTCCGAAGTAAACTTGTTGGCGTTACTGCAGCTGAGGGGGAGAGACAGTCTTAATGAAAACTTTTAAATGTCTTAAGTTGCCTCTTACCGAAGGTTCTAACCCTTTGACACTTGTTCATGGGTACACCTGTGTATCAGACATACTTGCTTTAGTTCACGTTGCTGAAGATATCACCTAGGATACTTGGCCTGTTATATACTACAACCTGACTGTCTCTAAACTAGTGCATTTGCCTATATATTTTAGCTATTTTTCTACCTTGAATATTTGCAGCTTCATTCTGTCTGCTGCAAGCATAAAATGAGAAGTGCTTGCTAAACCTTCCTAGCTGAAAGCAGTAACTTTCACTTGTAAAATTTGTAGATTTCTCATCTGAAGCATGTGAGGATGATGAATAAAGATTAGAAGAAAAATTAGTGCTGTTATTTCCATATCCTATGTGACTGGAAATATTGGCTGTATGCTGTATATTGTAAAATGTATTGTTGAATACATAATGCTGCAAATTAAGCACATGTCATAACACTCCTGAAGATCAGTCCAAGTTCCTGAAAATACTGATTGTTACTTCAGATATTGCCTGTAACTGACTTTATAAGGGGAACCAAGATCATAGAGATAGGAAGGATGCTATGTGCTATGTCTGTGGTGTGAGGAGCTTTGTGCTTGTCACTGTGCTGTGCTCTGTACTTTCCTCTGCTCTTGCAGCTTGCAAGTGCTCCTGGCAAAGCACAAGTGGCAGCCCCTGTGCAGAAAGATTATCTCCTTGAGCTATGGGTAATTTATGGCTTTTGGCATTTTACAAGATTTCATTTCAGTTAAGAGGAAAAAGTGACACACAAATAATAGAAGGTTTATTATAACTGATGCACTTAAATGTCTGCAGAGCTATTTCAGCACCTTGGAATCGCAGCCTTCTCTGTGGCTTCCCAGGTTTTCCATTTCCTTCAGCCTCGATAAACTCATCAATCAGAGTTACTCTTAGTTTGTGTATTCAGTAGCTTGCACTTGGATGCACGTGCAATGTGTAGTTCTGCCGTGTTTGGGGTCCCACTCTCCAAAAGCATTTGAAAGCACTGTTCTAGGCAAGTGCTTGAAGTTTTCAGGAGTGAAATGACTGACATAGAAAAGCATCTATGTTCTTGTGCATGGCATGACAATTTTTCTTAAATTTAAAGATTTTCTGTGCATTTGACCTTTAACAATGACCGTGATTTAATGTTCCACTGAAAGGCAGCTACTGAGGTGAATCGTTCCTTGTGCCTAGAAACACACTCTGACTTATTATTCCCTAGCAGTACAAATATCTTTAGCTAAGAAGATGTTTCTTTAGGAGCTTCTCAATTTGTTGTTTCTTGCTGGAGATGGTAAATTACTAGAGAGAGGAGAGAACTCAAAGAATAAAGCGTTTAAGTATTGATGAAAAGGAGGAGCCTTACCATCCTCCCTCTGGATAGTGCCACACAGAGATGAAATAGAGACACAAAAAATAAGCATTTTTGTAGAGCTCCTGGCTGGTCTGGCTCTGTGTGGGATTAGGCTATCTCTCTGCCCATGTTCAACCGTAAATATTAAGCAAGTTAACATGTTGGTGCTGTGTAGGCCAAACTGAGGGGCTGCGGGTGGACTAAGGCAGGTGGCCACCAGCCCCTTGTGCTTTCAGCCAGGGTGAGGTGGCAGGAGGGGAAAGGCTGTTGCAGCTCCCTGGGGCAGTAGGGGTTCCCGAGTCCCCGTCCCCCGCCCTCCCGTCACTGAGGGGCTGGGTGTGTGGGGGGAGAGACATTCCCTACGAGCAGGAGGGTCTCGCCCCCACCTTTGGCTCAGTAGGGTGGAAATGGTATTCCTCTGCTTGTCGTGGCTTTGGGAGGTCCTGGAAGCACACGCTCGTCGCCACGCACACACACGCGTGTGCACGCAGAGGCACACGCGCACACTCGTGCACATACCCCCACGCCCGCTCTTACACACATACAGGGCTCCCTCTCCCTGCCTCCACCCGGAGCATCCCCTCGGTGCAGCCCAGCCCAGCCCGGCCTTGGAGCCGCCCCCCCCGCTGCCGGCAGCCCCCCGGGGGCGGGGAAGCTGCTCCGCGCCCCCACCCCCCCCGCGCCCGCCCCCGCCGCCGCCCGGGGCTGGCCGCCGCGGCATGACAAGGAGCCGCCCGCCGGGGGGCTGCGGCTGCCGAGCGGTCACCCCATGCGGCTTCTGTCCCCCCGCCGCCCAGCCGAGCCGGGATGGAGGCGCCCGGCTGCTGCCGCCGGCATCTTCCCGTCCTGCTGCTGTGGGGTGAGCCGGGGGGGCCGGGACGGGGCGTCCCGGGTCTGGGCGCTGATGCTCCGGGACGCAGCAGCCCCGCGGGGGGCGGTGTGGACCGGCCGAGCATCCGCACGGCGCGGGGGTGAAGCTCGGAAAAGGGAATGGAGCATCTCCCGGGGAGGGAGAGAGAGAGGAGGGTCGCCTGCCGCAGGGCCCTGCGGGGGCCGGGGTGCTGAGTGCGGTGTGGTGCGGGAGGGCGCTCCCCGCCGCGGAGCGGGGTGGGCTGGGGTAGAGCGCAGCATCTGCTCTGCTGGTCCCGCAAACAGCACCCCTCTGAGAGACGGACCCGACTTGGTCAGCCTCGCGGAGCCCGAATCCGACCCTGCGGGAGGCAGGTTTGGTCGCGGGAGAAGGGGAAAGTTTGCAGCTGCCGATGAAGAGGGGGCTGTTGTTAGAGTGCTGAGTTACAAATGGGCATTGGTTAGAAGTGTAGATAGCCTTCAGCTCTTTTGCTAAATGTAAGATTAACTTTATTGCTAGAAATACTTGTGTAGTGCTTTTTTTTTTTTTTTTTTTTTTTTTTTTTTTTTTTTTTTCATCAGGTTTCTAGTGTTAGGACTCCCAGATACGGTGTGTTGCAGTCAGGTCAAAAACTGCTGGGAGGAGGCATTTCTGACCTTCCCTTTACAATAAACCCAGAGATGAGGTTAATTCCCCACAAGTCACAGATAGCGGAGAAGAAAATCAGACCTTGTAGATTTAGAAGGGTTATCTGAGGACTTTATAACTTCACTCACTAACTTCACAGTCCTACCAAAGTACAAAGCTGGTAAACACTGGACAGCTTTCTATAAAAAGACCCACAAATAAATGAGTTGTTGTATTGGTAGTGTTCAGTATCGTCGTCTTACCTGTTCGGTCAAAAGAATTACAGGTCAAATACATAATTTTTCTGGTCTCTGTGACTTGAGAGTTGCTAAAATCTTATATTGATCGCTCATTTTATTTTTCTTTACTTCTCATCTGAAAATGAATAAAAAAATGTCTAACACCTGCCTTGACAGATGAGGATTTATGCAGTCTTGAAGTTAGGGAACCAAGTATTAATTAATTTATTTATTTTTTGACTGTGGAGACATCATGATGTTTCTGTGACTTTTACAAAACAAAATTACTTAGTGAAGATTTATTTTCAGAGAATGAGTGGAGTGAGGGACAAATCCTTGTAGCTCAGAAAGCTAGCAGACATTTTTTACCAGAGACACAGGTAAATCAATTGTGCTAGACATTTTTGACTGTGCTAGTTGCTTTCTTAAAAGCATAACAGCGAAGAAATGAGTTTAAGGATATCTGCTAACTGATAATACATCACTTTTGCTTTAAGTTGGAAAGGACAGATATAATCAAAAGCTAAATTAAATCAGAGTAATTTCCTGGTAGAAAAGCCTTTTGGGAGCCTTGAAAGTTTTATGACATAAAATAAGGAAAGTTTCTAATAAGGAAAGCCTTAACTGCTTGAAAACTAAACTTCTTCAAGCAATGCAAACATGCTTTTAATATCAGTTATTTCAAATGGTTTCTATTTTGCTCTCCTCCTCATTTTCTAATGTCTTCTTTTGATTAACCAGAGACCCATGAACTCTCTGGAAGGTGAAGAGTCTTCAATGTTAACACTCACCGAATTCTGTAGGGAGCTTGTCTTGGTAGGGACTGGGACCTTCTCCCAACTCAGGACACTGCTTCCTGAGTGTCTTTCCGTCTGCGGCTCTGAAAACATTATCACTATATAGAATCATTGGCTGTGTTGTCTCTCCTTGCAAAGATGGCAAAAAAGACAGTGTGTTTGCTTCTCGGAAGCTCAGAAAATACAGGAGAAGCTGGGTTTGCGGTGGTGTGTGTATGTATCTGCTGGTGGGAAGGAATCTGTGAACTGAGGTGGCTGGCACAGGCGCACATAATTGATAGTTTATCGTAAGAGTGGGGATGCTTAGAAGGTATCTGTGGGTTGCAGAATCTAGGGAACTGGGAAATAATCATATATTTAAAAGAATCCAGTAGGATATTATGATATTCCACTCCTATGTATGGAAGCTAAAGCAAGGAGAAACTTAAGACATTTAATGACTTTAATGACTTGATGAAGACATATAACAGACGAAGTAGGCTTTTTATGCAAGTAGTCATTGTTTTGACATCCCTGTCCAAAACTTTGCTCCTCCATCGTTTGCATAATATCCACATTTCAGTGGTGTTATTTGTATATGAGTTGAAAGATGCTATCAGAATAAAGCTGGATGTTTTTTCTAAATTCTAGAGGAGTCTTTCTCAGTATGTGTATATATACAGCATGTGTATGTATACACATACAGAGAGATTACAGTACTTATCAGAAATAGTTTCCTATGCAGATTTCCAAGATTGTATATAGTTGTTCACATTTCTTAATCCTGTTTCACAGCAGAAGCTTAACATTTTGGCAAGAGGTGAACAACCGGACAGTTAGAAAGCTGGGAACAGAGACTGACTTCAGATGCCTGTTCTTACTATCTTTTTTTAAAGACCATATCTCATCCTGTAAACAATCCTGGAAAAAAATATGTATTAAAATCTGAATTTTGTAAGGTCCTGAGTTCCCCTTGCCTGGAACACAGTGTCCATAACTCCTAGGAAGTTTGGACTCAGATGGGCGGGAAAATTAATGGGAAATAATTTTGCTAGGTTAAAGACTGAAAACCAAATCAACTTGTGTGTGTGAGTGTATTATTTCCTTATAAATCTATCATGCTGTTCTGCAGCTGCAAAGGGTGGGATGAAGAAAGGGAAAACCAGTGTGGGAGTGCTGAATTTAGTGGATCCAGGCGGGTGTGCGTGTAAAACAAATAAACCTTTGCAAAGAAGAACATCTGCTTTTGAAACAGAACAGAAGGTTATAACAAAAATGCTTCTCTACCAAAATAAATATGCTTCATTTTCTAAATATATGATTTTCAACACCAGATGAGCAGGAAGATCAGCGGACCCCATCAACATCTTCTGAAAGCAAAGCATTAAGTGTATAAGCAACCTGTATTCTAACTTGTTGTTGGATCCATATGTTCTTCCCACTGTCCTTCACCCTTTCTGTTTCTCCTGATCCCTTTTCTTGGGAAAAAGTTGTCCTTTCACTGAGGACATGGACATGGGAGACAGGTTCATGCTATGTGCACTTGGCAGCAGTATTTAATGTTTGAGTTCAGTTATCTAAAGTTTCTGGGTGTGAACTGTAGGTGGTAGCACAGAGCATCAAATGCCGTTTCCAACTCTTGGTCCCAGAAGCCAGTAGGGATGATACCAAAGGGTTTGAAGGTAACTCCAGATTGAATGTGGGAAGGAAGGAAGTGGGCTATCTGAACCCAATTTACACCAATCTAAGTGAGATCTAATCCTGAAAACCGTTAAGATAGTAAACACTTCTTCTTGAATTCGTAAGATTTCCCTGCCTAAATAGTAGTTCAGTTTCTAAGTAGCTTTGAGGTCTGAGGCCCTAGATTTTATGTTTGTTTTAGCTATATCTGCAAGACAAACTGAGAGGCTGCAATCTGAAGCTAGAAGTCTTTACTGAGATAGGCAGGTAGCACATAGGCAGGTGAAGATACACAAGAACCATGAGATCTTAAGAAAAGGGTTATGAACAAGAACAGATCACCTCAAGGAGAACTGTGGGAGGTTTTGTCAATTAAGTTGTATTTTAAACATTGCAGCAGCACCTGTTTGTTTGTGGTTTTTTTTTTTTTTTTTTTTTTTTTTTTTTTTTTTTTTTCTGGTTTCTCCTACATCTCCATTGATAAGAGATGATTCATGGCTTGGATTAGAGTCAAATGAATCAAATTTCAGTTTTTCCATCTCAGGAAAGAAACAAAGTGAGGGTGTCCTTTAGAAAACTTCATTTGCTACCATCTGTGTCTTTGTTGTTGAAATTAGTGCTTGAGAGAGAGGTATGAAGAAAGCAAAGCGTGTTTTCATTTAACGCTCATAAAGAGATTAATTTTCACAAACATAATGAATCCTGTTTTAATTCACACCTTTTTATTTTAGTAAAAGCAGTTGTTTGAAACATCCTATTTCAAAATAGAAGTATATTATTTTGTGTTTTATGAAAACAGCCTGTACTTTTTTTTTTTCTAAAATAAGAGTCTCTTTAAAGATAGTCTTTTATTGAGATAAAACGGAAAATATAAATGACAGAAAAAAAAAACAAAACCAAACATTATTTTAGAGTGGCTGTATGTATAGAACAACCTAAAACTCTGCCTGAAGCTTTTGGGTCGTTTGGGAGGAAGATATGTGGGTATGAGTATGAGGAACGAAGTGAGTAGAAAGCAAAAAAGGAAGTCTTCATTTCTAGAAATGTTTAGTTTTAGTTCTCTGAGACCAGACTGAAGAGAGGAAGCAGTTCGGTTCCTCGCAAAGGGCTTTAAAAGTGTGATGGTGTTTTTCAAAATGATCTGAAGGCTAGAGAGGGTCCCAGCCTTTATCTTGAGAGCAGCTTGACATGACCTACTATATTGGCTTGAACAAGGGGCATGTCTGCATAACAGCTGGTGGCCTATATTTAGCCCTGGAATAGAGAATTTTATCTGTGTGAAGCAGACGGCCAAATTTATGGCCTTTTGCAGAAAGGATTTTGTTTGCTCCACCTATGCTCCAAGTGAGACTCTGATTTGAAGATGATAATGTGATAGGCCCTGCTGAGGCCATAGCACAGCACTGGACTGACAAAGGCACATCTTGTTCGCATCTAACCAGATTAAGCTGAGTAAGCAAAGGACTATGCAGAAGCACCGCACCCTACAATAAAGCATCTGTTTTATTACTTTCACACCCTAATAAATGTGACTAATTTGTCCTTATTTTGGAGAGCTTGATATGGGGAAAAATTCTTCAGGCAGTGTGAGAAGAAGTACTGTAACTTACATCAGCCAATAATGACTGTCACTTTGCATAGTAACTCAGAGTTTTGTTTCCAAATGTTGTAAGTGACCAATTTCTTT